TTTCAACATCCTGAAGATTAAAAATAAAAAACCAAAAAAATTTTAATGGCACCATAAAGCTTGGGTTAACTGCTGCATTAACATTGCGCAACATTTTTACCCAATCCGTAAATTGGGAATTGTTGAATGACCCTTTGATTGAGTACCTATTTATATAGACCTTTGGTAAGTTTTGAAAACTTTGATCTTCCGCTAGTTCCGAACAGTTCTTCGTTCTAAGGTTAACAGACTGGACTGAATTTAGCTTCCGTCTAGAACAAGCAACAGCTGACTAGAGTATTTTTTAGGGTCAAGTTAATCCAATTGCCTCTTAAGAGGAACAAAAAGAATTTAAGATCGACAGAAAGCTTCGATAGAAATACAGTTCCTTGAAGCAATCTCAACAACTAATGTTTACGTATCGTCATACTGACTCTTATCGGTCCGAATAGCAGATATGGCACTGATTTTATGGGATAAGGACAAATGTATGTTCATCTTTATACACACTATTTCGTTTGGGACAAGCTAATGAGACTAAAAATCATGTTAGTTTTATCAGCCTTTGGCACTCAAACTAAGTAACGTCTGCACCAAGGCAAAAAACTAGAACCAGAAAAGTTAGATAAGTACATAACCCCAATTACTACCTTCCGGGTAGCTTTTACCATTTCTACTACATCCTCTGAGTGTAACACTCTTTGAATTCTCATTACACTCCCTCACTACCAAGTCCATTCGATTTTTTAATCCATGCTTTTGCATACAAAGTTTCTGAATACTTTTTTTGCTGCCAACACTGTACTTTACATATGTTCGTTCTTGCTCTTGTTGAGATTAAGCTACTTTTCGTTAATATTTCCTTTTTTATCGTTTTTGATTAAATTTATGTTTGTTGTTTTTACACTTAACTTTTCTTTTATTGTTGTTATGGTTTTTTTCGTAGAGAAGCAAAGAAAAGTTTCTGCGGTTGTCACTTTTCCAAGCATTTTTTTCACTGTGGCGTTGGTTTGAAATGTTTTTAGGGGTGCGCGCATTAAAGTAGGCTACGAAAAACAAAGTTATTGTTTTAAGCGGCCTCCAAGTTAAGTCTTTGATGAAATTTGCGTGAGGTTTCGACATTTGGCTTAACTCTGCTATAAGTTTTCAGGAAGGGGAGTTAAATCCGTGGTGTTATGAATATATATGTACATATGTATGTATGAGTATTTTACTCTTAAACAGCATTGGGGTAAAATTAAAGTTCAGCAGAATGTGAATTGTTTTAAACACCAAATACTTCTTTTAGCAGCTGAAAAGCTATAGCCAGCGCAATTTTACCCGTTATTTAAAAAATAATATTATATTTTAAAGGGTTGCCACCACAATTTTTTTAATTACTATTTATTTTACACAACTTACAACTTTTTTCAGAATAGCTTCCCGTTATGCAATTTATGGAGTTGAATTACCAAATCTTGCACAGGGTTGCCACAAATTTTAAGAACTGTAAATTTTGTTAAATGCTCAAAAATTTTATAAAGCATCAGAACAGTGGCTATAAAATCTTTAATTGCAATTAACTTTTTTAAGGTCCAAAAAGTGTTAAGGGTTGCCGTTATTTTTATCAAGAAAAATATATGTATATATAGTACATATGATCATGATCACTTTTTAATGTAAAAACTATCTGCAAAAATATCTATTCATTGCTAAGAATTTTTATATTTACATCATATCGTAAATAAATGCTAGAAGTGTTGCCAGATTTGCAAAAAAAAAAGATATTTAGTGCAATTATTTGTACCAATTAGAAATTTGGTGAAATGGGATTTGATTAGCAACATCAGTAAAGAATTTTGAGCCGAAGTTCTATGTTTATAAAAAAAGGGGTGCCACTTTAATACTTTTTAATTTTTTTTTTAATTGTAATTTTGGAAAAAATTTTTGAACCAAAACAAAATTTTTAAGAAAATAATTTACGAAAAATTTTGACTTGCAGCCATTGCGTGGGAGCTACTGTTTTCAATGCTTCTGTGCATAAAAACTTACACTAGAGTTGCCACACAGTGTTTTTGTTGTACACAAAATTTAAACCAAATTTAAAAAAAAAATTATTTTCAAGTGACAGCTAAAAGCTTTTTAGAGATTGCTGGGTTATTGTATTAATTATTTATTATTTTTGCGCGAAAAGTATTTTATTTTTTTTTTTTTTTTTGTATTTACAGTTAAAAACTGAACTTTTTTATATTTTTTTAGAACAGTTGTATTTTTATACAAATTTCGCAAGTTTTAGTGGTACAGTGTTGCCACATTATTATTATTTTTTTAATTGTTTCAATTAATTAGTGAATAATTAGTTACAAAAGACAGGCTTTTATAAAAATTTAGAATGTTAAAGCGGCACAGCCTTGCCACATTGTTACTATAATCATTATTTTTTTCCAATTGTTTAAATTAATTTGTGATGAAATTATCCAAGTTATAGTGGTACAGCGTTAGGGCATAATAATTATTTTTTATAAAGGTTTAAATTAATTAATAAAGAATTAATTATAAAAGACGTGTCTTTATAAAAAACTTGCAAGTTAAAGTGGCAGCGTTCGTTGCCACAATACTATTGAAATTATTATTATTTTTTAATTGTCCAAATTATTTAGTAAAAATTTTATTATAAAAAGACAGGTTTTTATACAAATTTTGCATGAAAAGGCGGTACAGCGTTGCCACGCTATTATTATTATTTGTTTTTTTTTTTAAATTGACTTTTGTTGCTTTGGACTAAATATTAATTCAAGTTTGCCTGGTAAAAGCCGCAAGTTAAAGAGGTACAACGTTGCCACATTAATATAATGATTATTTTTAATTTATTTTGTTTTGTTGTCTGTTCGTTGCTTTTAGAGAGATTTTCATTTAACTTAATTTTTCCTGCTAGCAGCTACTTCTGTCCCTTTTTTAAACTTTCCACATTTCACGACATGGAAACATTTCAAAGTTCTCTTCTACAGCAAAAAAAAAAAACAAAATTTGTAAAACACACTGCAATTTCAAACTTTCGACTGCAAAATGTTTTCAAGAGACTTGTAAAATTTTTTGTTATGAAATTATGAAATTAGTATTTATTTAATATTTTCCTATAAGCTCTGCAACTTCTACATAATAAATTTTCCTGTATACATGCCTTTCGACCGCCCAGCAGACTTGTCGACAAAAAGTTAAATAAAAATAAATTAAAATTATCCAAGCAATCTGCAATTGTCAGCAACAGACTTTGCATTCGCAAGTGCTCGACAGAAAAATAAAAGAAATAAAACAACACCACACAAGACCAAAAGCTGCACACAGTGAAAAGTACAAGTAAAATGTTGCGTATACGACGTGTGGCACACCAGCAGCAAACCAGCCATACAGCTGGCAAACTATGTAACAAAAATACAGTTGCGGCACACATACACATGCATGTAACTGTTAAATGACAGCAAAAACTTCGACCGAGCGTGTGACTGACGGACTGAGTGTCTGAATGGCTGAATGTTTGACTGTTTGTATGGTAAATTGTAAATTAAAAAGTTTTTGGAGCACGAAAATTTCATTGCCAACATGGGTCACAAATTGCAATTGCCCATAATTCCTCAGCATGTCAACAAGCCACACATACATGCATGCCTGCGTTGCATATGTAAATCTAAGATAAAATGTAAATTTAATAACGACATGAGAATAGAATTTGAAAATCTGTTGCAACTTCTCGGCCAGCAGACGACTGCAGGACAAAGTTTTCGCATTAAAAATGCGTTATGCAATATATATGTATATTTATATAAAAGTCCAACACGCAAAGCTTCGATAGTCTCCAAATATCACACAGAGAATGGCTAAAATTTTGCCACGCCCCCACACCGGCCGTAAAGTACTACTAAGCTGCTTGCAAGAGTTGTGGTTTGCACTGACCGCTGCAAGTTGAAGCGAAATTTTAGTTTAGCAAACTTTGACAACACCAATGTATGCACATACAGCTACAAAACAGTGAAAACAACAACAAAATACAGAAAATACAACAACAACTGTGACAAAAACAATGGCACTTACAAAAACCATAGCACTTACAATTACAACACTATTAAAAAAACAGCACCTACAACAAAAACATCAGTTAGAAAAGCCCTAGCACTTGCAGCCACACCATATGTTACAGCAACAACAACAACTGTGCTCAACAACTACCGCCCAGCACAAGAGTTGTCGAAGGCACAAACACACACACACACACCAATTGCAGTTGCAGCTATTAAAAGTTTGTGGATTGCAATGAGCTTTACAAAAGCAACAATAAAATATTTTATATACATACATGCATATATGTATTAATATGCCCAAAAGTAGAACATAATAAAGCACATGCTTACGCATATTCAGTATCAAATCTAAATCAGTTGTAAAGCATAACAAAACGCCTGTGCGCCTAAAAGTATGCATTTGTTTATAGATATGAAACACCTGGAGCGAACAGGGTAGGCATGTATTATTTAAAAGCTGTCGAAATATAAAATTTTAATACAAGAATACAGTGGGTTGAGCAATAAATCTCACAACGCCTAAAAGTATTCTACTAATATATATTTTGAATATACAATTATATATCTTGAATTAATCTTCAATTGAACTTAAGCGCTGACAAGACAAATGCTGTCAGAAATATTTCAATGGTAAAATAATTTTCTCATAACCCCTAAAGGTATACAACGTATTTATTTTAAAAAAATATTTCCGTTTTAATTTCTGCATTTATTTTGGTTGAAATTCTACGAAACGTATTGGAAGATGCAACTACAATACAAATAATAGCATATGCTATTAGCGCCTAAAAGTGTGCAATATTAAAGAGAAATTAGTAAAAAATTACAAGTTTATGGAAAATTTTAAAATACCGAGCAAAAGAAATTGATGCGCCTAGATGTATGCTATACAAACATGTATAAAATTATTCGTAATTTCCTTCCACCTGCTAACTAATTTTCTCATATCTTGCTCTCTCTTCACAGATTGGTTCCTTCTTCATGATCAACCTCTGCCTTGTCGTTATTGCTACACAATTTTCGGAGACGAAAAAACGCGAAATGGAGCGCATGCGACAGGAGCGTGCACGCTACACATCCACCTCAACACTGGCGTCCAGCACCAACAACTCAGAGCCGGCCACCTGCTATGCGGAGATTGTCAAATACATAGCGCATCTTTGGCGGCGTTTCAAGCGACGCATGTTAAAGAAGTACAGATTATATAAGTATGATAATTAATGTTTTGATTTGATTATATTTGTTTCGTGATACTTTCAGTTACAGTAAACCACCCCCAACAAGAAAAAGTTGTTCAAGAAACTATCTGTAAAATATAGATTTGTATTTGCGTTCGATTCGTTTCGTTAATGCGTGAGCATAAAAGTAGATACTTACTAACCCAACCCAAATTAATTTGGTAGAGCGTTACTAATACACATGTATGATAAAAACATTATTAAGTAATCCCTTAATTTATGCAAGGGGTTGTGAAATTTATCAATATTAATCCCTAAATAAAAGGATTTAGGGAATTGAGGAAACAAGAGTGATTCAAAATAGATCGCATTATTAAATGCGCCTAAAAGTTTTCTTCAGTAAATTAAACAGTATCGCAAATAGCTCAAAATAAACTGGAAATGCTTGCTTTCTGTAAAGCTAATATCGTCAAATCGCTGCAAATAGCTATATGTATATACTAACTTTCGAAGAATTTCATGTTTCCAGGTATGGGACATGCATAACTGTAAGCCTTTTGAAGCAAATTAACAATAACGAATAACATAATACGCCTAAAAGTATGCTAATTAATATAAGAAATAACAGAGGTGCCTAAAAATATGCAAATTTCGTGCATAAAATGCAAATTAATTCTTTCACACCAAACATTTCACAAAAATATTTGTTCGTACTCACTTTTAATTTTAAAGCAAGTCAAATCATTTAATTCGCCTAGAATTCTGTTAAATGAAATCACGAATTTATGGACAAAAAATCGCACATCATGGATTGCACAAGTTTATTCACTTTTTCTTCCAATTTTAAAGCTTAAATTAATCAATCATCGAATGGCGCCTAAAAGTGCTTTTAAATTTTTGCTTTACAATAGATGCACATAAGAACAGCGAACTTGCAACGTCCAAAAAATTAACAATATGTAAATCGCGCCGAGTTCAAACGATAATATAGCAAACATAATCGAAAATAAGGCAAAATAAAAAATACGCCTAAAAGTAAAACACAAAACATTTGCTCAAAAGTTTTGGAAACAAAAAACGCACGCTAAGTGCTTTATTTGGTAGAGTAACGATTAAACAGAGTAACCAGAAAGAGTATTTGAGTAGTTAAACTAGTTTCAATTAAAGCCTAAAAGTAGGCAACATATTTATTAATAGTAAAAGTAGTTAGAGATTCAGCAGCGGTATAAATTATTTATGAAATATTTTTTCGAACACAATTAAAATTTTACAAGGAAGCTTAAATTGTACGAAGATTAAGATTCCATATATAGATACAAATTCATAGAACTTTACAAATTGTCAAGCTCTATAACAATGCTTCAGAAATGCAAATTATCGCACACACGCAATCGATAAAATCTTACAAATATTGTTCTACGCCACCTAAATGGCCAGATAGGCAAAAATCGTCTTAACGCGCCTCAAGTTAGGCAACGAAATATTTGCACGCCAACAGATCCAGTTGATGTATTCTTATCAAATCAAGATTATACTGTCAAAAAAGTGTAGAAACTTTTTAAAATCCATTATTTACTTTCAAGCTTTTTAAAGCGCCTAAATGTATGCAGTACAAACCCAAAATTTAAAACTAAATTCAACACGAAATGCACGGTTGGTGCCAAAAAATTGCTTTTTCTATCAAAACAACCAGTATAGCTATATGCTTACTACTAAATTGTATACAGCTCCTAAGTGTAGGCAATCCTTGTCATAAACCAAGCAGTTATAAAAAAACTTAACAATTTTAAATATTTCAGTATATACTGCGTAAATATCATGATTTAAAAACTTCAATGATAGAAAAATCTAAATTTTGTATTAACTCCCGAAAGTATGCCACAAAAATTCTGAATAACCACTCTATAGGCACTACACACAGTGTGGCACAACGCAAAGAGAAACTACTGACTTTACACTATTTTAATTACTTATTTTCCCAGTAATTATTTTTATTAATATTTTTATATGATTTTTATTACAAAAAAATTTATTTAGCTTATGTGGCAAATATTACTTGCTTTGTGTTGAGTTCGCTTGTTTAGTTCCAGTTAATTAAAGCTATTTGCGTTTTGCTTATGAAAGCATTTTATTTTCATATTTTACAAGTAATTTATGTACAAACTGAAATATGTACATATGTACTTTGTATAAAAAAAAGCACTTTGCATGCAGTTGGCAGTTATTTACTTATTTATGGTCCTTAGTTAGTGTGTTAGTTAATAGTAAAATATTGATTTAGTGAAATATTGAGTGCAAACTTTTTGAATAACAACTATTTTGCATAGGATTTTTGAAACAGGCATACACATACATATAAAGACAAACAACCAAACACATACTTGCAATTTTTTCACCATTCACCATTTGATGTTGTTGTTGTGTGAATCGTAGTGTATGCTAAATAAAAGCATTTGCAAGTGAAATTCAGCAGAGTCAACTGGATTTTAATTATTTTCTATTAATTAGAAAAAGTCTTTGATGCACAAATAAGCAAATTTCAAACTAACAAGGAAGATATTGAGAATATTAAAAAAAATATAACATTTAAATTTTTTGTTTGGAAATAATAGAATTTATTTCAAACGGC